CAAATTTCAGGTCATTCCGATTTGTAGAAAAAAATAAAAAATAAAACACTACCGGACATCCGTGATCGTCAGATCCACCAAGATTCGATCTAGGCCGTTCGGTGTTTACTGTAATGGTACACAAATCAGCATACCGTAGAATCTTCATATATATATATATATATATATATAGTAGTGATCCTATGATACCCCTCCACATGCATGTGCGTAGAACTCCAAAAGATCACCATTAAATTTGGCACAGATCTCTAGAAAAGTTATCACATAGGTGTGAGACTTGAATTTTTTACAGATTTATGCCAAATTGAATGCTGATCTTTTGGGGTCCTACACACGTGTGTGATTGTCTCGTAAGGCCATTTTTCATATATAGAAAGAGAGAGTATAATGACCTTATAGCACCTTGCCACATCCCAATGGCCTATGATCCCTATGGATCACCATTAGATTTTGATTCCCAATCTCACGATTGGTATGATAGTTGACCAGCCAACTTATACGGGAACAAAAAAAAAAGTGAACTGACGACCTTATTTACTTTCCAATTATGACCCTCTTTCTCTATCTCACCCAATTCCCCTCTCTCTCTCTCACCTCATTCTTTCTCTCTCTCTCTTACTTGGCTCAACCATGGAGAAATCCACAACCCACGAACCTCTCTCTCTCTCATCCAAAGTAGAGAAACCCATCGACCCTCTTTCTTGTTCTTTTATAGGTGGGTAATGGCTTTAGATCAAGGCTACACAGATGGGTTACCCATTAAGTCATGGAGAATACCAGTGTCATCAAATGCTTTAGGAACTTTTCCAAAGATATTGTTATAAGAGACATTGAAGAACTTCAATGGAAGATTATACAGTGCCTATGGTATAGAACCAGTAAATGAATTTAGTAAGAGGTCGAGATAGTTCAGTAATAGAAGAAAACCCAATTTTAAATAATCAAACCACTAAAACTGTTATTGGACTCACCATTGACACCCAAGATCCCACACTGCCTGGGATCTCGCCTGAGAATGGATTTTTAGTGAAATTCTGCCTCTATAGATTTGTTTCTTGCGATTATTAGGGTTTCAAGCTTATTTGGGCTACAAAGATAAGGAGGAAGTTTCCATTCAAGTAAGTTTCTAGCAACATCAAGGTTTACCAGGTCAGAATTCCAGCTCTTGGCCGGAAGTTGGCCAGAGATCATGTTCCCATAAATTACGAGGTTCTCCAGCTCTTTGTTCAAATCTAAAGCCTCAGGTATTGGACCTTCAAGATTGTTCATGTAAAGGTTGATCAAAACCAATGAATTTCTAACGAATTCTTCAAACCACTTCCTAAAGATATTGTTAGAAGAGACATGAAATTTTCTAGTGACTTCAGCTTTCCAAGATTTACAGGCAAAAAAATAGATAGTTGACTATCATAGAGCTCAATCTATGTAACTCTTTTGAGGCCACCTATACTCTCTGGAATCGAACCAATGAGCATGTTATCTGATAAGTTCCAAGTTCGAGGGAGAGAGAGGGCTAGAGGGGTGGTGAAGAAAGAGAGAGAGAAAGAATGGGCGAGAAAGAGACGGGTGGAGACTGTTACCTGACAAATCTAAGATCGAGAGAGAGTGAGAGGGTGATAGAGGGGGTTGAGATTGGGAATCAGATCTAACGGTGATTCATAGGGCCTTATACCATTGGTATGTGGCAGCGTCCTATAGAATCATTATTATATATATATATTCTAAACTTCACAACCCTTCAAATTACAAAAGTTCAAGATGTTTATAAAAGCTCAAATTATAAAATGTTTATATAAGGTTGCAGCCTTAAAATGTAGAATTATAGATGCATCTCAAAAATCTATTAGAAAAGGCTTTTGTAATGTTGAAAAAACCTCTAATTGATCATCTAGACATCGAGATGTATGAATATACAAGAAAAAAAAGATTTGTAGTTCCAAAAATAGTACATCTTGTGAGACATTATTCAGACTGTCCATTTTGCTTAATTTTTACTATTTTTGGCGTTTAAA